TGAGGGGCCCAAAACTGAACACAGTACTCGAGGTGCAGCCTCACCAGTGCTGAGTAGAAAAGGACAATCACCTCCCTACCCTGGCTGGCAACACTATTTTTGATATAGGCCAGGATGCTCTTGGCCTTCTTGCCTACCTGGGCATACTGCTTGCTAATACTCAGTCAGCTGTCAACCAGCAGCCCCAAGTCCCCTTCCTCCTGGCAGCTTTCCAACCACTCTTCTTCAAGCCTGTAACATTGCATGGAGTTGTTGTGACCCAAGTGCAGAACCTGGCACTTGGTCTTGTTGAACCTCATACCATTAGATTAATCTTGTAAAGATCTCTCAAATCCCTCTGCAGAGCCTCTTGAACCTCAAGCAGATCAACACTCCCAGATAACTTGGTGTGGTCTGCAAACTTACTGAGGGTTCACTTGATCTCCTCATCCAGATCATTGATAAAGATATTAAAGAGAATAGGCCCTAATACTGATCCCTGAGGAACACCAGTTGTGACTGGCCACCAACAGGATTTAACTACATTCACCACCACTCTTTGGGACCAGCCATCCAGACAGTTTTTTACTCAGCAATGTGTATGCTTTTCCAAGCCACAGCAGCCAGTTTCCCCAGCAGAATACTGTGGGAAACAGTGTCAAAAACTTTACTGTACTATCCATACATACTTTGGTAAAGCACTTAACGGTCTTCAAAAACTTTCTTCTGTACTTCCAAATGCACATCTTAGATTATGTCACATTTTCACAGTGTCAATGTATGATAAGATTATGTTTTCCAGATGCAAACAGTAACTGATTTTTAGTCCAAATTAATTTCTCACCATTAAAATAGTTTGCAGCACCAATTTATCCCAAATTGCCACAGAATGTCTAATCCTATGTTAGGTAGTTATTATTTTTTAGAATCTGTTAGGAACTTTTCTTACTAATCTCATAAAACAACCAGGATCTACCTGAAACTGTAGGCACCTAGGATCCTGTGTTTAGCACCCTACATAGGTAGAATGTTTATATATTTTTCAGTAACTACCTCTTTTTGTAGGTGTAAGTTGTCCTTGCAAAAAAAGCTACATGTATTTTTTGGGATCACTGACAAGGTCAAAGAGGCATAAAAGTGAAATTCAGTGTGAAGTACAGATGAAAAATCATTTCTGCTTTCCACATTGAAGAAAATGAAAATATTGCACAAAATATCAAAATATTTTAGAACTGAAGCTATTAAAATTTATTTATTATAAACTTGTAAAAATATGCAACAGAATTATCCTTTCTTTAAGATGAGGAATATGTATGTGTAAAATATGCACATGGCAATGAAATTAATTAAATGTGCATTTGTCTTACTGCATGTTAAATTGTAGTCTAATATTTTATGGAATCTCATCTATCATAGAAATTCTTCTCTGATGATGTTAAAAAAAAAAAAAACAAGAAAATTTCTAGGGAGATGAAACTTTAAAACCTGGTTGGGGCTTTTTTGGTTAAGAAGAAAAAAAAAACACACAAGTGTACATAATGAAACATTGCTGTTTTATCGCAGCCATGAATTTCATCAGACCCTTCTGTTGTTCAGAAGATGTTGTTCATCTAACATAATATAAATTCACAAAATGAGTATCTCAATGCAAATCTGAGTAGAATTAAACAAGATGGTAAAGTTGGCACTTTTGTAAAACATTATACCAATGTTTGACAGTGCTGTAGGCAAACATTCTTGCACCTTGTGCCCCAGAAAACTTTAGCTCCAATTCTTTATAGCATACATCATCACAAGGTATGGAGCAGCATGTCACAGCAAGCACAGAGGAAAACACCTCTACAAGTATCCTAAAAGAAAGAATGTCTGATACTGCTGTTCTTAAGATGGCAATGCTGCCATGAGTATTGAGTGACAGCAACAGATCTCCTGCTCAAACCTGGATAAGAGCTGGTAATTTGTCTGAGTGTCAGCTACTCCATTATATTTAAAATAAAGTGTAAGAAACTGGGTAAAGTTAGAAAGGTGGATGGATTTAATTTTCAGACTCCTTTGTAAGAACAATAGTGTGAACTCTGTCATAGGATTTCAACAGTAATTTATACATGGACTGTGTTGTTGAGATACTTGAGTATCTATGTTCATAAAGCATTGAGAGAAATTGTTATAAAATATGGGATCTACCTAGTCCAGACTTAGAAAATGTTAGCTCTAAACATTTAAGTCCTGCAAATATCACTCTCCAATGCTATTCTTGTATAGTGAGAGTCAAATAATTTCCATTTTTAATGTTCTTTTAGTACCAAGAATGTTATTATTCTAAAATAAAATTCTGAAAATGAAAAAATTGCTTTAATATATGCTAGTGGCAATCCATTCTTTCTCAATGAGAATTTTCCATTGAGCTTTCCTAACACATCAGATTGTTTTATATCAAGTTGATTTATTCAGTTAAGATGAATCTGGTCAGATACTTTTGTTCTGCTTTGCAGTACTGTCTTTTATTGTACATCTATGTGCTGGTTGTCCTCATTATACTAATGTTATAACGTTAAGAAGTGTCATTTCCCGTCTTCATAATTCAGCTGTAACAGTAAAGGGAAAAACAAACAAACAAACAAAACCACCCTACAATAAAAAAAAAAAAAAAAGGCATAAAAAAACATGGGGAAAGGTGAAAAACAGTGTCCTTGATAAATGGAAAAAGTCAGAAAAGGAGTAAAATACCTAGCAACCAGAATCTAACAAAATCTGGCTTGTTTAAAGAGAACTGCATAGACGTTTACTTACTCAATTTTCAGGTTACATGTTCTATATAAGCATAAGGTTTTGATTTTCAGGTTTTTTTTTATTTTCAGATAAATAATGTAGGGAGAAA